ATGGAAACCTTGTAGCAGAAATCTGGAATAATTTTGAGAGAGTGGTTCGATTTCTTGTTCTTTCACTTTTGGTAATGCTTTGATACTCTCATATTACTGGAGAATTGTTTGTGTCGGATGCGGTCTCTTTTGTAAGCTTCTGTTTGGCTTCGATAGTCTTGTTGGTACTTTGGAAGATATTCCTAGTTAATTTAATTGAGCAACCAATTGCACGTAGTACAATACTTTGGGTTAATCACTCAAATTCCCCCTTTCTTAGGTACTCTTAGTGTCATGTTGATTTTGACATTAGATCAATAATGACAGTGGTAAAACATGCTAATTCGAAAAGTAAAACAGTGGACTTACTCGTGGAAGATGCATGCATTGGCCACTTGAAAACCATAGTTAAATTTGATGAACCTATGCTATGCTTACTTCGTTGAAAAATTCCAAAGTATATGGTTTAAAAATTCATGTAAAATGTGTGCACTTATTAACATGGGGAATCGAACATATGGACTGTGTTCCGTACATAATCGACAAACACATATTCGTTTTTTTTTAACCTATGTTGAAGGGTCATTTATTAACATGGGGAGTCGAACATATAAAGTATGCACTTTTAACTAACTCTACGGTGGACTTTTTATACATAATTATTAAGAATAGTTTGGTGCTTTTTTCATTATTACTATTCCAAAGTTACCCTTTTCTTGACTCACGCACACACTCTTCTATCTACTTCATTCCCACAACATGTGAGAAAATATTACATAGAGCTACTATTCGATGCTGGCAAAATCCGAGTCACTCATCAAGCGATTTTCTCACAACATGCACCATTGTTTTCACATTTTTCAATGATTTATCAAGGGAAAATGACATATATGGTCATTGAACTTTGGCCCAAGGTGCAATACAGTCCCCGAACTTTTAATTTGTTCAATATGATTCATGAACTTTAGTCTAATGTGCAATGTCGTCCCCAAAATTTTATATTGTTCAATGCGGTCCATAAACTTTTCGTACATGTTCAATTTAGTCCTTGGATTATATAAAAATGTTCAATGTTATCCTTGACTTTGAATTAATGGAAAGACATCATTGAACATTTTCATATAGTCCAGGGACCAAATTGAACATGTATCAAAAGTTGATAGATCACATTAAACAAATTAAAAGCTTAGGGACAACATTGCATATTGAACCAAAATTCAGAGACCATTTGTGTCATTACCTCATTTATCAATAAGCAATTGATGCTCTCACCAATTTTTTCACTAATTACTCTATTCTTTCATCCGAGACATCATTTAATTTTTTTTTTCCTATCTTAGTTACTTACTTCAATGCGAACATCTTCCATTGAAAAGCTTAAGGAAATTACTCTTGACGCTTGTGTTCATTTTCCGTCTCTAGATTCCAATTAATAGTTCTTGGCTTACGTTGAAAAACACAAATTTTATGGATAAAACATTCGTATTGGAAATGTGATCATTTTAATCTAGAGAAGTACCAAAAAAGTTCTAACCTATTCACATTTTTTCAATTGAATCCATTCGGCCAATTTAGACTGGAAATCGCTAACGTAAATGTCAGCGGTCCTTCGTGGTATAGTCGGAGCTGATGTAGACATTTTTTAATAAAAAATTGATTTTAAAATTTTTTTTCTATTTTTTTTTCTTTACTTTTTTTATTGTTTGGAATAAGGACTGCTGACCCTTGTCGGCCAAAGTGAGGGCATGCGGTCCCTCCCTGATCTAGGCGAGCCCGTGAGGCCCAAATCTGGTGGGGCTGTGTGGCCCTCGCCCAGAGCTAGTGAGGGCCGTGATGCCCTCGCCCAGTGTCGGCTAGAGTTGGTCGGTGACCCTTGTTGGCCCTCAATCAAAAAAAAAAAGGTAAAGAAAAGAAAAGAAAAAATCAAAAAAATTATTTAAACAAAATGCCCACATCAACATTGGTTGTGCCACGTAGGATGGCCGATATCCATGTTAGCAATTTTCAACTTAAATTGGTTGGATAAACTAATTGAAAAAACGTGAAAATGTTTATAACTAAATTAGCACAATTAAAAGATTTAAGACCGAATTGGTATGAGTGCAATAAGTTTTGAACTTTTTTTGGTACTTTCCCCCATTTTAATCTTTTGGTTCCAAAACGCAATGCTAATGTTAAATTTCTCTAACTCGATGTAAGTTTTCCTTTGATCAGCCAATGCTAATAGCATGTCCCTCCACAATGACTTCCATGCAAACTGTCATTCATCCCCATCTTACCAAAACCAGTTACCTCAGAAGTTCTTTAAACAGACGTGTTTAGGAAGAAGGCACCCTCGTGTGATTTGAAGCACTCTAATGAAAGGATGGAGAGCTCATTTGCGTTTCACAACTGTGCAAGTGTCGTTTTGTGCTGAGAATGCTGGGGGTGACGACATGAATGCGTTTGTCGTCTCCCTAGGTCAGATGATGTTGCAGATCAATTTACTAGACAGCCTATTTCCTGGCGAGAGTAAAACTGAACGTACCCAGTAGATAACTGTTAATTGGCCCATTAGATTTAATGTCAACTGAGGTATGTATGTTTCGACCAAAAAAAAAAAAACTTAGGTATGTACGTCCTCCATGTTTGGTGGTTCGAATCGATACACGTGATCAAAAGGAGAAAACCCTTTTTTCACCCTTTTCTTTTTGTTTTCTTTAAGTATATTATAAGGGAAAATTGCCCAAACAATTCTAAATTTATTGAATAATTTTTTTTTATCTTTTCTTTTGTTTTGTGTTTCTTAGTGATCAATAGCGTAGGATTGCTTGGATCTCTTATGAAGATAACTTTTATGTCTTGTTTTGCCACTCATTTTTTATCACTTGGTTTTGAATTTGTGATCATTCGGTCATTAACCTTTAAATTGTGCCATTTTAGTCCTAAACCTTTTGACAATTTGTCCTTTTTTTTAAAATTTTCTGAATAGTTTTCTTCTTTTTTTCCCCTTTCTTTTCTTTTCCTTTTTCTTTTCTCTTCCTATTTTCTTTTTTCCCTTTTTTCCTCCGCCGGCCGTGTCGGCGCTAATTAAACTGTTACGTCAGCGATTTCTGGCCAAAATTGACCGGAATGATTGAATTGACAAATCGTCAAAAGGTTTGGGACTAAATTGCCAAATGGTTAAAAAATTTCGATAAAAAAATGGCACAATTGAATGGTTTAAGAATGAATTGACCGTCGTACAATAAGTTTAAGATTTTTTGGACAATTTTCTCATCCACGTGAAATATAACATTTAGTAAATCATCTCGAACAAACACTTCTTCTTTTATGTTTGTACACAATGCGTAGCTATCACGTATATACCGGCAACACTTCAGTCATCTAAGCAAATCTAAGGCAGGTCATAGCCCAAGCTTGTTGAGGAGGATCATCGAATGCTCACATATATACCGGTGTTGATTCGTGCACGAGAGAAATCTCCTATTTGGCGTCAATAATTATTGGCGAAGGGTTTGTTAAAAAGATCGTGTCCGACGCTCGTTAAATATACTTACTAAATAAATGATTGATTTTCAAAACTATAGTTATATACAACACGCATGTCAAAGAGAGAGATAATTGTCCAAAAGTCATAAATCTATCACATTGTGCCAATTCAGTCATAAATCTTTTGACGATTAGCCAATTCAATCCTAAACCTTTCAATTGTGTCAATTTAGTCCTAAACCTTTTGAAGATTTGCCAATTTAGTTGTAAACCTATTATATGGATATTTGGTCAAAAGGACTATATTGACAAATCTTCAAATTGTTTAATACTAAAATGACACAATTGAAAAGTTTAGAACTAGATTGACACAATTGAAAGGTTTATGATTGAATTGGCCTTCCTACAATAGGTTTAGGACTTTTTGGACTATTTTTCCGTCGAAGAGATTACACCTATTGTAATTAACTAGAGGAAAGTTATAAATTTTTTCCTTGTATAAAGCAACTTTAATAAATTAATGTCCTCATAAGAGCGTTTTTGACATAAAATCCTCGTATAGGACTAATTTTTTTCTTTCGCATATCTGGGAAAATGGCTGTCTAACTTTCAACACCTGCCCATCGTTTGACTATCTTCAGCTTCAAGTCTTCAGATATTCATTACTTCTACATAAAATAAATAAATAAAGATGAGAAAAAAAAAGGGAAAAAGGTTTATGACTCGATGACGATACTTATCATCATGGATCGCAATACCTAAGTATAGATCAATCTCTGTTTTCATGCCATTAATTCCACCAATAATTGTAACTAAGGTTTTGATACATCTATCGTATGAATCCCATATGCACTTCAACCCTTCTCAACCTCGTCTATGATGAGTAGAAACTGTGGATATGCCTGCTAAAGTCCCTGGATATGTCGAATCAAGTTCGACTCAACTTTTACAGTAGCCAACATCGACGGATCGAAGGGGGCTTGCGAGGGCCTTCGCCCTCCCGATTGCTTGTTGTTCGGTGCAATTTTTATGATATATATGTTGTAATCCATTTAAACTAATATAAGTTAATTCCTTTATGTTGCCCCTGAGCTATGAAACTATAGTATCCGAAGTACATTACTTTGCATATATCTGGTATTATGTCTTTTTCATTTTTGTTTTGCTTATCCCTGAAGTTTTGAGACAATATTTGAGAAGCTTATGTATCTTTCGGTAGTACACATTCTGCATTATGGTGGTGCTTGCCCATGAAGCTGGACACAACCTCCGTATGGGCAGCGTAATCTGGCTTGAAGCACCTGTTGATTAGCCCAACATTTACTTGATGACAAAGCAGTCTTTTTCTCAATCCACATAAAGAGCAATGTAATACTTGCATGATCGTTCTCGGCTTGGTCGAGACGTGAATTGATTTACGGTAGTATACAGTTGGGCTTTTGCATGTCGAGATGACTGGCGGATGCAAACCCTAATCTTCTCGAGAAATTCGAGTAGAGAAAAGAATAGTAGGTATATGTAAGTATGTAACATGAATGGACCCTTGAGAATTTGTTTGGCTGGTGAAAGGAAAATCTTTTGGTCAACTAATGATGGGCGAGTACAAATAAGTCAATGAGCTAAGCATCCAAACAACAATGAAAATAAACCAAGCTTAGATTATGAAATGACAGAACAAGAAAAAAGAACATGGGGACCAAGGATGGCTGTTTCCACTCAAGAAGATACTTGTATCTTGTGCTAAAATATTATTTTTCTGATTTTCCTTCCCTTTATTTTGCTGGAAAATTGTCACGTTGGCTCTTATTTTGGGGTTCAAGTGCAAATCAATTCAACATGTAATCGGCTGACCAATGCGAAGATCCGCATCATTCATTGGAGAGAGGCTCTTTCTTGTCTTCCCACGTTTCCAAACGATTTCTTGCTTTCTCAACCTGAAAAATGCAAATTTTATACGCACATAGATTAAAAGAAGAAGAAGAAGAATCATCGCCTTATTCAGCAAAATGATCTTTCTTATTTGATCCTATTCCTCGAGCTAATGATATTGCGGTCCTCATATTCTAGTATTTGACAGCAAACCACTTGCTAAAGATGTGACTTCATCGTAGGATTTATCAGATGGAAATATTTGAAGTGTAGCCAATAGCTAATAGCCAACCATGATTTGGAAGCACGATAATAATTAAATCCAATTAAAAATATTACGTTAGGAGTACTTTACATGATTTTGAAAGTTCACCCTTCCAGTATGTTGTCTTATCTGCGTGTCGAAACTTAAATTGCTTAGACTAATATAAGAGCACCGATAATCACACGCTATAAACAAGTCAAGCGGAATGTTAGGTCGACTTATCTTTTTTTAAGGAGCTCCTTCAAACTTAGAATTATTAACTCACTTTAGACATCATTGTAAAGTTGGCCAAACCTACCAGACCCAAAGTGATACTTATCAGCTTCCTATCATTCATCTTTGAAAGCTCAAAGAAAACAAACCTTGCCCACTCATTGATCATGGGGTCCAGAGGAAGATTTTTTTTTTCTATCTTGTCTGTCAATGTAAGCATGACGATGATCATCAAATCTAGATAAAGAAAGAATAATTGTGGGAATCAGATGGAGTTACCTCCTTGTCCCAGTTTGTCCGATAAGTGAACCAGATTAGAATCAAAGTCTGGATTGTAGTGCCTCCAATCATGCCAGACCAAATTCCCTACACCATAAGCCAATCTCTTAGATCATTATTTCTCATGCAGAAGTGTCTGCTAAGTACCCGCATGCCAAAATACTTGATTAAAGAGAAGGTGATTATCGTTCGTATAACCCTAATCTTCTAAGAAATATTATCAAGCTCGTGTGATGATAAGAAAGAATGAGGAGAGTCCATACCTTAGCTCCAAGATCAAACTTGAAGCCCAAGAGCACACCAAGTGGAATGCCGATAATGTAATAGCATCCCACGTTCACATACGCGACAAAAGCTTGCCATCCACACCCGACAGCCACTCCTTTATAAAAGATATAAAAAGAACGAAAATGATAAGAGAAGTTTTCGTAATCAAGTTCATATCGTCCTCCGAGCAATTATTCTGCGAAACAAGTGTCTTCACGGACAGATCCATTCAACGACCAGCCCACGAAAGTACAGCAGAATCTAAGACTGTTAGGCTGTTAGCTACTTTGTCGCTTCCTTGGGATCGCTGAGCGACGCTTTGATAAAAAAGGGTTTGGTGTTTGTGGTGAAGAAAGCAGACTTAGAGAGAAGAGACAAACCAGGACATGCCAACAAGACCCATTATCGTATGCTGCGCACTCGCCATCTTTCAATGAAGGAATAATTGATTCACGTAACAAAGAAAAGACGACGATGACTTGTTGGCACTTTATGTTCCAAGTGGAAACACTGACATACCCATCTTTTATTTCAGTTTGATTTTGTTTCGATGTCGAGAGCACGCAATACAGCAGCCACATTACCATGTTCTTTCCAAAAATGTTTGGACAATTCGCTAATGGACGCCCTCATTAGGTTTTGACTCAGTCAGCTTTTCTTATCTTTGTTGGATAACATAGATATGCGTAGCACTAGAAACTTTACGTACTTAAAATCAGAACAGCATCATCTTGAGGGATCGGCTGGATTCAAGTCACTGAAAATTTTACTGCTGATTCATTGAAATGTGTTGAGTCAATTGCGAGCTTGCTAATTTTTCACATCTAGAAGATAAAATCTACCGGGAGAATTCACGTACGGGTCTCTAACTTTTGGGTTTAATTTTTTTAATTGGTTCATTATACTAATGATGAGGAAATAAGTCTTTATCATACTTGCTTTAGCTAATTTGTCACGAATAGACCAAACTTTTGATTAAGTATAATCAACAAATTCCACACACGCATGAACATCATGCCAAAGTACAAGTCCAAATCCGATGGGACGAATGACGATGACTATCTATTCTAATCAAATCTAACATAATCTAACATCCAACGTGAGTAGAATGGATTTTTGTGCTGCAACCACATCACCACGAATAAAACAAAGCTCCATCCCATCATTCTAGAAAAGAGAAAACAAAGTAGGGCTTGATTACTTTATATATATAATGTTCGTTTAAGTTTTGCAGTTTTGCAATATAAATATAAGTCAAAGAAATTTTCAATAAAAAATTCAAAATGGCACGAGATTTGGGCTAGTCCAAACTAAAATTAAGTACCATGTGCTGAATAATGATTATATGGGATTTGATTGTCACCACATAAATGATGACTTATTAAACTAAAGTCAAGTAAATAATGGTCACTAATGATCATAGGGATTGACTAGACATAAATGTTTGTCACTAATATAACCTAATAAGCCAATTCTCAGCTACTCAATCTGTAGATGACTTGACACCCAAAAAGCCTATGATTACAAGCAAGAACTAGTTTTCTATAATTGCTTGTAGGGTCCCAAAGTACATCATTCACGTCTTTATTTCGAGGTGTGACGGTTCAAATTGGCCACTGCTTTCCGTGCGTGTACTATGTTTCTTGGAATTCAATTCTTCTAAAAGATGTCTTTTGATTGGTCCAATGTCGATAAGATTTCTATATTTATTGTGTTTCATTTTGGGTCTTGTGCATCTAGTCTTTGAATAAATTTCATTTCTTTTATGGAAAGTAGCGCCGGCATGGAATTTTATATTAGTCGATCCAATCCCCATGCTAACAAAAGGAAAGCCGCAACTAATAGTCATCGAGAAATGTACCTTTGAACAACATACAGTCCAAATTTTTTAAGATTATATACTTATTTCGAGGGTAGAGAGTTTGCGAAATAATATTCTTCTGATCAGAGTTTAGAATCGATTCGATTTAGTAGAATGCGCTTAAAGCATCTATTTGTCATAATTTCATTTATCTGCTAATCTTATTAATTCTAATGGACGATGAATTAGGACTCGCTTATATGAAAATAGATAAATAATGCACAAAATCTTGAATTAATATCACTCGGACATAATTTCCTCCGACTATTTTTCGAACCACATAAACCTCCAAAATGATATCATTGTCCCAACTTCACTCTATCTTATAGTTCCTTCCAACTTAACCTTTAGCATCGTATGTCTCGGCCAACGTGACACGCTTATGCTTTGACCAATTCGACGTGGCAAATCCAATATACGACATATAGGACACTTGAAGAATAAATTGGAAGGAATTGCGATAGAGACTGAAATTGGGATAGTGGTGCTAATCGACGGTTTTTGTGGGTTAAAAATAATTTGAAATAAATATGTTCAGACGGTATTAGTTTAGAGATTTTCCGTGATTTTAGCCCTTAAAAAGAAAGGATTAGTGTGATGGGACTTTACCAGAGAGAACGGGTTGAATGCCATTGAGGATGATGGAGACGGCGAGGAAGGGAGAGAGCTCGGACACGGCGTCAGAGACGGTGGTCCCACTTGTGAAGACGTAGCTGATGATGTGGCGCAACGCCATCACTACGATCGCCAAGAAGACAGCGACGAGGAACGAGCTGGACGTCACCACTATCACCGCGAATGCAGCTGCTCTCGGGTGTCCGGCTCCTAGCTCGTTGCTCACTCTCACACTGCATATACCACAAAACACTCACCAATTTCAAGGCTAGAGCAAACAAAAAACATGTATCCAAATTCACAAGAATATGAGAAAGTAAATTTTGACGGACAATATTTAGGATGTAATGAATATATATGTGGAATTTATATATGTTGGAAGAATGGGATATCGATCTGTCTCGTGATTTGAATTTTCAGCTCCCCCAAATACAAATATCATGAGTGTTTGCATGCTGATGAGTGGTTGCAATCGTTCACGTGACATGAGAACATGACACGAGTATTTATCGAGAAAAATGCGTACCCGACTCAACTAACTTAAAGCTAACATGAATTGACAGCTTTTTGTTCAATTTTTTGTTTATGGTAAGTTCTTTGGGATCTCTCTAAAATCTTTTGGTAGTGATGCAAACATAACATTAAATTAGTACGACTAATACGAAAAGACAAGACAAGTCTGATCAAATTAAATTAAGGGCGTGTGAATTTTAATGGAACCGAGAACCAATGTAAATGAAGAAAGGGGTTTTGCTGCTGTAATCCAACCATAATGCTTTCAATGCTCTGTTGACTGACCTTGCAGCTGCATTAAATCCCACTGAGATCATGAGGACCCATCCCGATATCGTCATGCTGCAACATTAATTGGTTAAAATAAATTAGTTGGATCCAAAGATAAAAGGGACAAAAAAAAAATAGAATAAACAAAAGCAAATGTAAGGATGGAGGAAACAAAGGTGTTCTCAAGAGATATTTTAATTGTCGAGCGTGAAATTATTCACGCGACACTCGGCGCGAGATGATTGGCTCAAATGGGCTAGGACTATGTGTTCTTTTCGTTCAAAGTAACCCTAGCTCAGATGAAAGTTATCATATAGTCCTTTTATAGCAGTCCAACAAATCGAGGCTCAATGAATGCATGGTCGTGCATTCACCCAACCGTAGGGCCTAGCGGCCGGCTTATGCGCCGATCGGCCACCATCGTGTACCTAACTTGAAATATATTAAGTGATGCGGGAGTTTATAAGTGCGCATTTAAATAAGCGGATGACATTAAATATGCCCTATAAGAATGTCCCGCATCATTCGACCTGTCGTCGTTGTAGACCGCCTTTAACATACCTAGTTTTTAGTCATAGTAACTATCTGTAATGTTTCGAAAAAATAGGAGAACATCAGCTGAAAGTACGAACTTAAAAAAGCAGTTAGTTTGGACTTTACCAGATGGAGAGAGCGTCCAAGACAATCTCAGCGTTCTGGAGCAGACCAGCGATCAACACCAAGATCTGATAATACCAGCACTCCAAGCACAGCATCACCGCCGACGCCGTTGAGAGTTTCAAGAACTCCCACAGCCCCGTGAAGGCCTGCGAGCTGAAACCCCTCCAGGTGTGCTTGCACCGGTCGCTCACCAGTATGTACACGAACTGGGCCACCACGATGACCCACCACGAGAAGCTCAGCATGAGGGAGGCCCCGAGGAGCCCGACCCCGAGCTTGTAGATCACGATCCAGCTGAGGAGGAGGTGCGCGGCGAAGGTTGCGGCGGATATGTAGGCGCTCGGGTTCACGATGCTCTGCGACTGCAGGAACTTTTGGATTGGGAAGTTGGCAGCATAGGCGAAGATCTGTGGGATGAGGCCGTAGACAAAGACCGCCGCCGAAGATGCGATGGAGGTGGACTCGCCGAGGAGGAGGAGGATTTGCTTGGAGAATATATAGATGAACATGACTGGGATCCCGGTCGCCATCAGGAGGATTGTCGACCGCTGGAGGTAGACGCCGAGCATCTCGTACTTGTGGGCGCCGTAGGCTTGCCCGCAAAGCGTCTCCACCGCGCTCCCCATCCCGAGCTACACGGCGGACAATCAATGCACGAGCCAGCAATTTTGCAAATGATACGTCAGGCAGAGCGAATGACACAGTAGAACATTAATGAAGCAATTCATTAGGCCTATGCGAGTTGATTTTGTTGTACATGCGCCTATGTCCAATGTTAAAAAAGTTATGGAAGTCTTGGGACAAGTACTATTCTTTCTTCGTTTTTTGCTCCGCCATGGACCTTACGTACTTAACCGAGGTCTTTTCAGGTCTTGGGACAAATCATATTCTGTCTTTGTTATTGCTTTTGGTTCCGCAATGTAAAAAATACATATAGAATATGATTGCATAACTTTTAGGAAAGACGATTGAAATGATGCCACGGACAAATGATTACGTACCATGAGGCCGTAGGCGAAGATTTGGATGCCATTGTTGCCGAGGGAGGCGGCGGCGAGCTCGAGGTTGCCAAGGTGGCCGCAGAAGATCTGGGTGGACATGGAGGTGACATTGTTGAGGAGGTAGACGACGACGGCAGGAGCGGCGAGGCGGAATAGGGTTTTGAGCTCGATACACGTGGCTCGCCGGAGGCGCTTGAAGTAGGGCAGCTCGGGGTCGGACAGCACGTCCTCGAGGGCCGAGCTCACCGGCTCCGCCGAGGGTAGCTGTTTGGGTTGTAACAGGGGTTGCTGGTGCTGGTTGCCTTCATCAGTGACTATGCCATCTCTCCCTGTGGACTCCATCTCTCTCTCTCTCTCTCTCTCTCAGCAGTTTATGAGTGAGAGTGGGTGGACTGAGATGGAGATGGGAGAGTGACCATACAGAAATCAAGGTACCAAATATTAATCTGCTCTCTTTTTAACTTTTGGGAGGGAGAAATTTCCAAGTCTTATAGATGGAGGATAGAGTGAAGAACGTGGGCCACAGAAGAGAGATTTTAGAATTTGAACAAGCCCGAAATTGAAGCATTTGTACATTTGGTGCCGGACCAAAATTTGGTGAAGTAATCAAATGGGAAATTTCTGTACGTGATAAGAGATCAAAGTGATTTTGGATACTTGCAAATACAAGTGCCAAGAAGAAGAATCAAACGCAGCCTATCAACATCTCTCTTGGTGGCTTGATGTATTTTCACGGCTTGGTAAAGAGAAAAAAAAATGTCATTTCCGTTGCTTAGCAAAAGGGCAAAAGCCGCCAAAAATCCTAAACTATACTTATTGTAATACATCTATCATAAACCTTTTCTCATGACACAAAAAATTTCAAACTTATACTTGTATGACACATTTATCCTCCTTCGAAGTTCCGTTAATGGAATCTGTGAAGAATCTGTAAAAAATCTGCTTACATGAAGGTCAGAAAACAAACGATGTTGACATGACACCCACATGGCTTAAGTGAAATAAAAGCTACATTGTTTTGATCGAAAAATCATTCGACCGAATCTTGACGAAGGGAAAATGTGTAGGGCAAATGTGTCACAGTGGTATAGTTTAAGGTTTTTGATTAAAAAAAAAAGGCTATAGGGTAAACGTGTCATAGTGTGCATAGTTTAAAGTTTTTTTTTGTGGCTTTTTCTCGGATAAAATGAAAGGAATTGCACGTGCCAATTTCTCAGCAACCCTTTCCTTTTTTATAATGATAAATTCTAGTATTTCACGAGTATTAATTGCACCCTTTTTTGGCAAGTTTGAAGGTCGCCCATTGACTCTCTGCTGGAACAGCAAATGGTTTGGTGGCGTCGTGGCTTACCCAACAAAGAGAACCGCTTGAAGAAGGAGATGGTTTTTGTTTGGATCATGGATGACGAATTCGAGGAACGACAAAAGTCTAATTTCGATTTGTACTCGTGAAGTAAATGACTTCTGCAGGTGTTAAACTTGGGTTCGTGCCAGCGACACAGCCCGTGGCTGCTCCGAATTGTTCAAACCCCAATCGTCGCCACTGTTTTGGACGAGGAACGAATTTGAAGTTTCAAAATGAATGATGGGACAAGCCGTTTTCAGCTCGGGGCGCGGCATTGAGCATTTGATTTTCTCGAACTCGATTGAACTCGGCTCGAGTAGAAAGAAGGATAACCTAACACGAAAATCGGGATCGAGCTCTTCAGCTTTTGAAATGTGTGAAGAGCGCAATAAGCTTTGCGTGGTCTGATCCGGTTAGATCGAGGGTGTGGGGGATGCCGAAGCTGGAAAGGGATTTGGGTTGATCTAGAATGATCCGCCGAGTAATCTCAAATAGCTCGGGAGGAGCTTGAATCGTCAACACCTTTATGGGTGATTCAAATCAGGAATCTCATCAATTGCCATATTTAATTGTTTCCAAAACTTATACTTGTGACTTTCACTCCGAAATTTAAACTTCAAAATACTACGTAAATTTAAATTTACAGAAAGCTGAAAGTTAAAGATGAATTTCACCCTGCAAAGACCGGCTAAAATGCATAATTTTACACATTATGAGATATTAAATGTGCGAAAAGAGGATTTTCATAATTGTAGAGTATGTTTATGAGAGCATTGTGTGTTCATCTTCTGATTTTTCCCCGGTTCAAAGAGTTTTAAAAAGTTAAATGCTTAGTCGAGTTAACAATTTGAGCTTGAGCAAAACAATCCACATCAATATGACAGTGTCAATTAAAACACTTTGTTTTTACTGTCCATGTTTACCTAAGAGAGCAACAGTGCTGGTGCTGGTGCTGGTGCTGCCTCCACCACATATTTTCTCAAGAAAATTGAACAATAACTGGGAATTAATTGATAAATATTGACACGAACATTCACATCTATTTAACTTTGTTTTTTTTTTTGCGTGATCTTTTAAAATTCGAATAATATTTTAGATTTGATGGGAAATTAAAAAAGTTACTTCGACTTTTGATAAGCGTAGGCAAATAAACCTAATTGAAATTAACACATTGCTCACTTGAACTAAATATAAACACAACGAAAGTAAGCATTTTATACGCCATTAATATATATTTCACGTTGAAAATAAGCATTGAATTGTTCTCGAGATCATGCGCATCATGGATATAGATTTTTTGTTTTGTTTTCTACGTTCCATTGTTCGGTTAATGAATTTAAACAAGTTTTATAAAATATATATTTAGAATCCTCCAAAAGCCTAGCCGGTTTGCATGGACGATTGGTGAAAGAAATTGATGGTCAACTCATCACGGTCATTCTATAATATAACGGAGATGATTACTATTGACACCTAAATTTTGGCGATCCAGTTAGTTGTTCATTGCATAAAAATTAGGGATCGGTTCTGGTTCCTAGACAAAAAATTAGTTAAATCGCATATAGATTAGGAGCATTTGGATTAATATTTAGGCCCATATAACTGCATTTGCATTGGACTGACGGCAGATGGACTCGAGTTGATGCTTCTGAACTTAATAAATTATTCGAACTAAGCCCACAAGTGAAGCAAAATGTGGCCAAGCCCATGTACATCATAAGAGGTCAAAAATTGAAATGTAAAGTGGAAAATATTGAATAATTGGGTAATTTCATTTGATATTATCACAATTAGATTTGATAAGAGAAAAGTTTTCTTTTGAGGGAAATAGGGTATATTTCTTAAGATCTTTGAAGATCGGAAAGTTAAAACCCTAATTGCACTATATATAAACGCTCGTATGTTCCTGATCAAAAGGGGGGCCACACATTGAAAATACACGGCCACGCAAGAAAGTGAGACAGAAAATAGAGAGGAGAACGAGAAGGTTGAACTGGAGAGAAAGAGGGAAGCTCTCGGCCACCCTTCCATGTTTATCCCTTGGCATTGGACAGCGGTGCCTCACTCATCGAATCAAGCAGCTCTGACGTGAAGTCCTCGTGGGTTTTCGGTCACCACCAAGTCCAAGTGCTGATCTCACAAGGGAGAGACGCTCACTGACGTACGCCTGAGGATTTATAATTTGGGTCACTCAACACCCAGAGAGAAATAGGAAGCTTTTCTCTCACAATCTCTTTGATCCCACTAAATTCTTATTGCTATTATGTTTTATTGACTCCAGAACCAGGGAACTTCACGTTTCTCTTTGGTTGAAGGTTTTCAGTCGGTCTTGCCCAGGGTCTACATTGAAACAATCACGGTTTGCCCCTCCGAGTGAGATAAACAATAGCCCAATCGTATACACCACTTTCTGACGTCGCGTCCAGCCCTTGCACTACGAGCAACCAGCGTTCCAGTCCACGAATAACAAGTTTCTCGGAGTGTTCTTGCTGCGACCAGCAAGCTTCGATCACAAACGCAACAACCTCAGGCGGCGGACTCAAACAACACCAGCCTGCTTGCCGCCGCGATTCAGTCCAACCGCCCCCGCAAAGCTTCACCATGTTTAATTCCGTTCTTGCAGGTTCCACCACGACCGATTCTGTTCCGGTCTTTTCATCCACACCATGGTCCATTGCCATGAGTCCAACGAGCACCTCCGTACCGTGAGCGGTACCGAGAATTCCAACGCGTTGACTTGCTGCCACCATTGTGATCCACCGTGAGCAACCATCAGTCGAGTCCTGTGATCCACGATCCCGATCTGGTGTCAAGTTCGAACTTGGAATGTATCCGCAAATTAGATAAGAATGTTATCCAACATCAATTCTCAAATATACCCTACTGCCATAACCCGTCAATATTGCTAAAACACTTTTATATTTAACCTAATCTAGGAATACTTGTTTCTTATGATTTTTTAAAATTATCTTGCTAAAATATTTTATGCAATACAAAGCTAGTGAAAAAAATTTATAATTTTTTTAAAATTGAGGTTATGTTTTTTTTACAAAAAATGCGACATTTCTAAAAAATATTTTCCATAAAGTCATTATCCAAGAAAATAAAAAAAATTTAATATTTTTTTATTTTTTAAATCAATTTTTAATTATTTTTTATTTTTATTTTTATTTTTTTTTCTTTTTCCTTTATTCCAAATTTTTAAACGAATAGCCTTCCATCAATATCCATAACTGTTTGTATATAATCGTTGGTTTATATCGTTTTCTTGATTCAAAGATGATAAAACAAATCTTGCGGATTGCGTGGATTGATTCGATTGTGGTGGTTATCCTTTGTTTGATTTTATTTCCTTTAAAAGAAAATCCCATAAAAAGATTAGATAATTTAAATTGATTGTCATAGATAGTTTGCATGTTTTAATTTATTCTAGAAAGATAGGATAATTGTCTAGTTTAAATTAGGATTTAGAATGTTTTATTTCCTAGTTTAAGTTAGACACGATCCTAATCTTGATAGTTTATTTAGGGTAACTTTGAATTTCGAATTTAAATAAAAATACCAAAAACATTGTTTCAAATAGATTAGGTTTATTTCCTTAGTTTGAATTGCATGTTTAAATAAGGGTATTTTTAATTACGAATTTTAATAAAAAAATACAAAAATATCATTTGCCCTGTCATTAGAGTTAGGACATTTAATTGCATGTCATATAGTTTGCATGCTAGGCTTAATTAATCGCATGTCATATTTTGCACGTCATTGCATCTAGGTTAGTTTTCATTTTAATGAAGAGAAAACCCCAAGAGCACATTGATTGAAGTGCTTGTTAATTTAAAGGGTTAATACCACGAAAAACCCTTCGGTACACTTGTGACACATTTACCCCAAACTATTTTCACCCGTGGGCGAGGGCGACCTTCGCCGGCGTCGGGCGAGGTCGACCCTCGCCGGCGTCGAGCCCGGACTAAATACATTGGGGTAAATGTGTCACAAAAAGAAAAGTTCGGGGTTTTTGGTGTCACAAAAAAAAGTTCGGGGTAAATGTGTCACGGATGGCAAAGTTTGGGGTTTTTGGTGGTTTTTTCCCTAAAATTTAAAATCCATTTAAGATTGACTCTTTAAAATTAAAGTGACCCATATATGACCCATTTATTTTAAAATGGGTCATATATGAGTTTAAGACCCATTTTGACACCTCTACCTGTGATCCACAATCCCGATCCGGTGTCAAGTTCGAACTTGGAATGTATCCGCAAATTAGGTAAGAATGTTATCCAACATCAATTTAAATATGCTACTGCCTAATGTGTGCAATATTGCTATCTTTTGTAGAAATTTTCTCTCTTTAGGTGAATGCATTATATCTACAAGATTTTAAAATACCCAAGTTAGTAAACTTTCCTAACTTGACAATGTGCTTAGACAATTATCCGATCTCAACTATGAGATACGATACTCGATGGTACGGGAAATGTTTATTCTATCCATAACTACTTGGATACAATAATAGATTTTATTTTATTTCCAAATTTAAACGAATAGCCTTCCATCAATATCCATAACTGTTTGGATATAATCGTTGGTTTATATCGTTTTCTTGATTCAAAGATGATAAAACAAATCTTGCGGATTGCGTGGATTGATTCGATTGTGGTGGTTATCCTTTGTTTGATATTATTTCCTTTAAAAGAAAATCCCATAAAAAGATTAGATAATTTAAATTGATTGTCATAGATAGTTTGCATGTTTTAATTTATTCTAGAAAGATAGGATAATTGTCTAATTTAAATTAGGATTTAGAATGTTTTATTTCCTAGTTTAAGTTAGACATGATCCTAATCTTGATAGTTTATTTAGGGTAACTTTGAATTTCGAATTTAAATAAAAATACCAAAAACATTGTTTCAAATAGATTAGGTTTATTTCCTTAGTTTGAATTGCATGTTTAAATAAGGGTATTTTTAATTACGAATTTTAATAAAAAAAATACAAAAATATCATTTGCCTGTCATTAGAGTTAGGACATTTAATTGCATGTCATATAGTTTGCATGCTAGGCTTAATTAATCGCATGTCATATTTTGCACGTCATTGCATCTAGGTTAGTTTTCATTTTAATGAAGAGAAAACCCCAAGAGCACATTGATTGAAGTGCTTGTTAATTTAAAATCATAATAGGATTGTCTGTGTGATTTTTTAGCTAACAATGGAGATGCTTGCGTTGCTAAAAGGTATCTTGTTCTCCTAAGCTAGTAATTTACTTATTGCTTTCTTTTCTGGGTGTTAAATTGGTGGATTGTGCACTCGCATAGTCACCTCGCATGTTAGTGAATAGGTAATAAAATAGATTCAAATTGCCTGCTCAAATATTATTATTTTTTTTAAAGAAAATGTACCAAATTGGCGTTAGACTAGCTCTAGCGTAACCAAGTCCCTAAATTCAAAATCTCTCGCTCGTAGGAATAAAACATATCTTCTCATTTTTTATTTGGGTTTCTAATCGACCCATCGCAAAATAGATTAGTGGCGACTCCAACATGAAAATATTTACATGTTAAGAACTTAAACCCTAAGTCGCGAATTGGTAGAGCTTGGGAGGGCTCGAATTAGGCTTAGACTTAATAATCCATTGGCCAAACCCCTAGGTGGTGCATCGCGAAGGTTAGGTGGCGACAATTACCATAGAACCTCTTTTAATAAAGCATATGAAGGCTCCTTGATGAAAGCGAACCTTGTCGAACACTATTAGTAGCTATATCATTTTAGTTTTAATCTTATAGTAAGTGAAACTTCAACACCATGACGATGCATCAAACTAAGAATACTCTCCCTCTCTCAATTGCATCGATTGCGCATATTCCATTATTTCTAAAAACTTGTACTTGTGAATTTCATTCCGAAATTTAAAAATAAAAAAATATTTATCTAAATTGAAATTTATAAGATTCTAGTTTAGCATATCATCTTCATATGTTTTTATTAATAATAGACATTGACAGTACAAAGGAAGTGTGTTTAATTGCCGCTGGCAGATTCATGTGGATTGATTTAGTCAAGCTTAATCGTTAATTCGAGGAAGCATTTAGCATTTTAAACTCTTTGAACCAGGGAAAAATCATTAGAAATACATATAATGTTCCCATAAACATGCTCTACAAATATGAAATTGTTCTTTTTGTACATTTAATATCTCAACATGTGTAAAGTCATGCAGTCAAAGCCTGTTGGGATGAAATTCATCTTTAACCCATTGTTAGTAACTATCTCATTCTAGTTTTTGGCTTATAGTAAGTGGAAATTCAACACTTCTTACATGCATCAAACCAAGAGAATCTCCCTCTCTCATTATTATTGAATTCGTGATAAATTACTCAATCAGATATAACTAGATGTAGATTAAATTACGTGTCCAAATAAATCTATACTCTATGATTCCTAACTCAATTGCATCGATTTGTGCATATTTCAATATTTCTTGTCTAGGTGAAACCCACAAAAAAGTTCCATGCATTATTTCAAATTAGGAATCGCATCGAGTGCGCATTTTCTATTATTTCGACGTACATGTGACTTTCACTCTAAAATTTAGAGATAGAAAATATAATTCGAATTTAAATTTATAGAGAGTTGAAAGTTAAAGATGAATGTCCTTACCAAAAAAAAAAAAAAGTTAAAGATGAATGTCACCCTAAATAGGCTTGACTAAAGTGCATGACTTTACACATGATGAGATATTAAATGCCCATAAAGAACATTTTTCCATAACTGTACAGTATGTTTATGAGAGCATTATATGTTTATCTTATGATCTTTCCCTGTTACAAAGAGTTTTAAAAAAACTAAATGCTACCTCGAATTAACAGTTAATCTCGAGTAAAACAATCCACAACAATCTGAGTGTGGCAAGTAAAACACGTTCTTTTCACTGTCAATGTCTAAAATTAATTAAGCATATGAAGATTCTTTAGACATTATCATTAACTATCTCATTTTAGTATTCATCTTATGGTAATTACTTCAATACTATGGTCGTGCATCGAACCAAGAGTACTCTCTCTCGAGTCTCGAGTCAAACTACCAACTTTGTGATAGATTATTCAGTCAGATACAACTCAATCTAACATTGAATTTTGTGTCCGAATGAATCTATAATTTTAAATAGTTTTAACTTAATCGCATCAATCGTCCATATTCTAGTACTTCCTTTTAGGGTGAAACGGACAAAAATGTACGTGCATTATTTCCAAATTAGAAATCGGATCGATTGCACATATTCCGTTAATTCAAAAGCATCTACCCATATCTGGATTGTGCAATCACAACAAAGAAGAAAGGCTAAGATTGTGTCGCCATAGGTAAGGCGACAAAAGTCTTTTGTCCTGAACTGTTTGTTTGCGATTTGCTCTGCCGCCTTTGCTTAAAGCCAAAAAATAGGGTTGCTTTACTTAAAGACGGACTCATTTTCGTCCCCATAAATTGATGAAAAAGCAACAAAAATTCGTCGCCTTAGATAAAAAAAAAAATCGGCACCAAAGACGATGAAAAATTTGCCACCTTTGGTAAATTTTTTTTAATCATGTTAGGTTAATTTTCAGGTAATGCACGAAGACGAATATATTTATTTTCGTTGCCGTAGATGTCGCTCGTTTCATTTTAATTGGAATTATGATTATTCTCTTACTATTTTGTTTTATGAAGATTAGATTATACAATTCGAAAATTTGGGAAGAAAAAATATGAGAGAAAGAGAGAGACGTGTGCGTAGTGCTGCGTCATTTTTCTTTCCTTTCGTTTTCATTTTTGGCCCACTGGACAGGAAAACTCCCGCCCATATTATTTTTTGGCCCAACAAGCGGGAAATTTTTAGGTTTGTTGTCATAGAGTCGACCAATTACCGAGTTTTCCGCCATAGGTCCTACCCAAAGGCGACCAAATACTAATTTTTTGAGTGAAAATTGTCCCAAGAGTCCTAAACTTATTATACAGTTGTCAATTCGATCTTACACTTTTCAATTTGATCAATGTAGTCCTAAATCTTTTGACAATTTTCCAATGTAATTCATTCGGTCAATTAGGCTGAAAATCGGTGACATGGACACCGTCCGTCCTACGTGGTACGGCTGGTGACTTAATGCATCCGACTCCACTCAAAACGATGTTGTAATGGGATCACTTCTTTTTCCTTTTACTTTTCTTCTCTTTTCTTTTTTCTCCTAACTTCCTAAATTTCCAATCGATGGGGTCGCCGGCCACATGCGGAGGCCTCTGCATATTTGCTGGCCTAGATCCAGGGGAGGGGGTTGCAATCCTCATTGGCCACTGGTGAGAGGGTCGCGACCCTCCTTGGTCACAGACGATTGGGTCACTGCTCTCACCTAGATCTAGGCGACAGTGCGTAGGCCCTCGCTTGTGACTGGCGAGGGTCGCCAATCATCACCGAGGCCTTGGTGACATTGTTCAAAACAATGTTATTTTGAGCCACATTGAACACATCAGATTGCCGACCATGCCATGTATAACAATAGACACTAACTGGACCGCCATATTAGAGATTTCCGGCTCAAATTGGCCAGATGTACTACGTTAGAAAATCTTCAAAAGGATCAGGACTACATTGACCAAATTAAAAGTTTAGGACCGAGTTAACGGCCGTACAATAAGTCCATGACTTTTTTGACAATTATCCCAACTTTGTCGTCCATAGGTCATATCCAAATGCAACAGAAAAACTGTTTTCGTTGCTTTAAATCTACCCCAAGGTGACGAAATTGTATTTTTATCGCCGTAGGCTGAAAATTCTTACTCCTCAATGGCCACAAATCAATTTCGTCGCTTAGGCCTAAATCCAAGACAACGACACCAGGATGTCATTGCATTAGGTCTGACCTAAGGCGACAAAATCACGATTTTTTCACTTTAGGTCTAATCTAAGGTGACGAAATTTCATGTTTATCATTGTAGGTCCAAGATTATCCTAACTTTGGTCGAATCACCGGCGACAAAGTACGAATTTTATCGCTTGAGTTTGACTTAAAGGCGACGAAACTCTTTTGACTTTGTCACCTTAGTTGGTCTTTTGTCACCTTTGGGTCAACCTGAGGCAAAAAATCCTTTCAGGGTGTTGTTCTTGTGGTATATGTACATTCCATATCTTGACAAGTTTAATGAAATAGAAGACATTAATGCTCTAAAAGAAGGAAGATCAACTTGTTCTATTGCTACACAAACCGATCCGCACGCCTCTTTTCATCTGCAAACCAATCATAAGGTATGGATTCTATAACACGATATCGTCTGTCCTAGTGCTAATATACAGCAATCCCTTTTTACAGAAATTTATTACAAGTCATGTAAGAATGCTGAACAAATGCAATCTGTAAGGTAATTCTTGATTCATCTCGGGTCAAGTTGCTCTCTTCCAAGATTAGTTTTGAGGAGATGCATGGTTCCTTACGGCGGTAATTGCTGGTGTAAATCTCCCTTTAGGACATAGAAACTTTACAGTTGTTACCTCCATCAAAGGACCGCATGCTGTCGATGGACCGCGCAGATTTATGATCCACGTTCCTCGAGTAAAAGCTTCTTGACGACATCCGCAAGACCAATATGTACGCGCTTTGCTAGACCGCGATTATCATAAGAACTGACAGGAGTGCCAAAAGCGCAAGGCTTTTCACATCTTTGCCATGAAGGTCTGTTTAGGATGAAAGCATTATAGTCAAGTGCAGCAACTATCTGGAAATTTCGTACTGTTACTGATTTCAAACACCAGAATTGCCAAATTAAGATTCTCTTCTAAAATTCTTGCTTCATTGCATCCAGTTTAGGAATGCCATTGTAGTTCTGTAAATGCATGTCTTGCCATGGAACAATGCGTGCCTCCATGTATACAAATAGAAGCTCGAACATCTCAATTAGCCAAATTTAATCCCTCGAAGTGCATCTGCATACTATAGCACTAGGAAAAATGATGAATTATTTACCAGCCTTCCATATCCTAATCTTAGTCAGCTTGCGTCAACTGTGGAGATTTAAAAAAGGGTACGAGCTTAGATACGAAGTTTGATGGAAATGCACGGAATGCTGACCAGTGCTTTTGTTAAAGACTTAAATCTTTAAAATATTAATTTGAGATTATCATCAACTGAACCAATTCATAGTTGTCCCGCAAGAAAACATAAACAGATTACGGGTGGAAAATGGCTAGTAGCTAATGGGAAAAAGATTGACTTACCACTTTGATCTGACGTCGCTGCTGGAAGTGCAGGAATTTTGACACCTAGAATTCAACAGACGACAAGTCAGAGGGGCGAAAGCATTGAAAAGTCATTAGCGAGAAAGGAAAGAGTGTTGTATCTCATTAGCAACATACTTTTATTGCACAATGAAGTTTGAAACTGGTCAGTCAACGGCCACGGAGCAGGAATGTTGTCATTCAGATCGCACAAGAAGCTGATCCCTGAGAAATTGTCGAATGTGGCATCCGAAGGCAAACTTGGTAGGAGGCATCCGGACACTATCCAGGAAGAGTTTGAGCATGATGAGTTCAAGTTCAATGTGTCAAATAGAGCCAGCTACTAAGGCACACGTATATTTAATATGAAACTCAACCCTCAGATGTCCCACAATTGTCGGGCTCGTCATAAGTAAACAGCATAATTCCTAGATCCGAACACTGGCCCTGATCGCTATGGGAAAGAAAAGATAGTGCTGAACAGATAAAGTGGAATGTAATACGCATATTACCTTCATTTGCCACTGCAATTGCCGATCCCCGAGACCATTCGAGAAAAAGAGCTAACGTTAGTATTGTGTTCAAGTAGATAGAATCGTGCTGGGATAATGAAGAGACAGGGGGAGCAACGTCAACCTTGAACAGAGAAGTCCTTGAGAGTAATACGACACAGGCTATAAACATTCGTAGAGATATTCAGTTTCCGTAATTTCACTCCCATTGACGTAGCACAATCCACCGCTTGCAGGTTGGTCACAAAGCTCTGCTTTTGCAAGTGGGAGACATAGTTTTCCATCGCACTGCAGCACACTGTCTGGTTGCTTATGCTGTTGGCACAGCTTTTCGCAACATGTTTCATGTCGGGGAAAACCAGAGGACAAACTGAAAGAAGGAAAGTCTGATCAGGATTAGAAAAATAGTCGCTGGACTTTGGTTTCAAAGTACAATAAACGAGAGAAAAATTAAACTCTCTGCTCAAAATCCCACCAAGGCCATCACTGCGTCAATTGTGACATTTTCTTCTGTTATCGGCATCACAATAGACATGGTGGTGTCATAAAACTTCTGGGGTTATATGTGCCTACAAGCACATTTTTGTGCAAGTGTCCATGTGCACAGGAACTACGCAGACACTCAAACTTACGTACGAGCACGTTTTCACACAAGTGTACATATGCACATGAGCTATGCAGGCACTCGAACTCACATCTGTTAACTTTGCAACTTGATAGCCCTCTTAGAACTTTCTTCGCATGAGATGTATCGAGTTTGCTTGCCAACCACCTGAGGACAATGTTTCTACAATCATCGATCCTGGCTGAATGATCCATCACAATATGCTGCTCATTCGGACTTAAGAGATCATCAGAAGCTTTCAAAGCAATCTTAGTAGCAGCCTCTAGGATAGCATTTTGACATACTTGTTCACAGCATTCTTTCACAGGATTGACCTTCTTGCAAGCGGCAAGAAGCTTTGAAGATTCTACTGTGTTCTCAAACGTGAAAACATCTTTAACCGGGCAAGAAGCTTCGGTTAGATTCGGTGGGCGAATCGTGCATATCTGATTCAGATTATCCCCAGCTCCCTTGCTTGCCAAAATTTGGTCCGTATCAGAGAGGCAATGTTTGGCCAGGCTTCCATTCAAAGCAAGAAGATTAGTGGTTTTACTGGATTGTCCGATGAGAATAGTAAGAGTGGCCTCATATTGGGGGCAGCATATCACGTGCGCTAGATAAGGTGCAAAAACGGCCCAGCAATCAATGGAGGTCATGCTCATCAAGCTTTCAGCTGCGGTGAAGTTTAATGTACAAAGTCCTGTGACAAGAGCATAACACAAGGTAGCATTCAGGACATCAAAGGCAAAGCTCAGATGAATTCGAGAAACAAAATATGGGAAAAATATGTACCTGATAATTTGGGCACAGTAGTGTTGGTAAAGGGAGCTAACGGTGAAGGTGCAAGAAGAGGAAGGAGAGGCTGAGGAGACCCAGTTGGGGATATCTCGGGAAAAATAGCATCCATTCTCTTGTCTGCTAATATGCGTTCATCCAATTTGCTACAACTACATTTATTCAGAACTGTGGAAAAATTTAACAATAATGTGAACTGAATAGAAACTCTGTCAAGTATCTTGATAAACATTCACAGCACTCAAAATAGATACGAAAGAACAAAATTCGAACCACCGTTCCCTAAATTATAGAGAACTTCACAAGAATCGAGGACTAAACATAGACAGTGAGCATATGCAGAACTGCGTAGTCACTGATGCAAGCTTTGCTGATCGTTGTTGGCTGCAGAGTTCCATCTTTTATGCTGAATTTCTTCTTATGCTTCTTCTAATTCTAGAGTACTCAATGGATTTTGCGGACGATTCTGTTGTTCTGTTTTGGATCATTTCTCACTGGCCGTTTCATGATTTTCAATCTCAACATGCTACAAAGACTAGTTGAATCCAAAAACAAGTGACTACTTAAGATGCGATCTGTCGGGGATTGCAACTGAAGGATATCATAAGAGGGAGCACAAAGTGCCAGCTTATAGACATCTAGACGTTCGACCAAAAAAAAAAAAAAGACACCTAGTTGGACTCATTTTATAAAGCATGAAGCCCTTATAAGAGTCAATTAGATATAGCAGTTTCTATTATTGACTCCTGTTTTTCGACATTGAACTTTCGTAAGCACTTACACATCGCACGTGCACTTAACACCACCAAGGCATCAACCATTAATATCTCAGCTATTGGACGAACTTAAAGTTACAGTATTAGTTGTAACCATAAGGGATACGTTGTTGCATCAAAATGTGCTGACTTGCAATTAACCATAAGGGATACATTGAACGAGAAGCACTGGAAAAGCCCAATTCATAGATGATGCCATACTATCCTGAGCTTTCGATACTATTTTAATGACCTCACTAGCACTTTGCTCAATAAATTCTACAGATCAAGCAGCCAATGAACATCAACTCTGAGCTCAGAATAACAACCTTGAGAATTCCACAAACAATTAACACATATAATCAGAATGCCAACCAACTCCAGATAAATTCTCGGGATGTAAATTACGACCCAGCTAAAAATTCAAAGATGACGCAAAATGGAAAACAGAACCCAGCATACACCAAAGCAGAATAGGAGGATCACTCACAATGAAACAGCAAGAAAGCCTTGAAAAACACAATCTTGAGACCAAGAGACATCCTTCCTCTCCTGCCTTTACTCCATCTGAATTTCCCTTTCTTGCTCCTCAGAAAGAAGTTGCAGCAAGAAAAGGACTCAGGTCACAAGAAAGTGCAAAGGAACGGAAGGAAAACGAAGGACACAGAGTGTAAAGCGGTGCTGTCAAGAAACATCAATCATGCCTGAATTCAGGGGGACTGGCACGGTATGTATGTGAAGGCAAAGAAAGAGAGGGAGAGAGAGGGAGAAGAAAGAGAAAAGAGCAATGCTTGTGTTCGTGTTTGTGCGTATGAGTGAGTGAGTGAGGACTAGCCATGAGTGCGGATGCTAAAGAGCGTGGGGACAGAGGCAGCAATTTCATTTTTTTTGCAGTAGCTGTCTCTGTCTTTTGAGAATTTAAATAGACCCCACAAGTGCAAACACAGACAGGACCGAGACCAAAGAAAAACCAGAATCAGATTAGAACAACAGTACCCCCATGTCACAACCTCCTACATTAAAGCCATCAATTGCCTTTAGCTTCTGGACACCAGTCATCAAGTAGGCGTGACAGCCGTGAGGGCCCCTCTCTTACCCCACCAAAAAATTAGAGAGCTGAGAAAGAAAAAGCACGAGGGACCTTCTTGCTCATGACAAAGTTTCAGATAAGTATAAACTGAAATTATTGTTAAACTTGTTCTATTGATAACATAAGATAGGTTGATGTAGAGTTCACAACTTTGTGATTTTCAATATATAGAGTAATAATTTTTTTTACGACAATGGAGCCCGTGTTCAATAAATAAACTCCCGATCCATGAAATATTCCAATAACTTCCTGACTTTGGTAATTGTGCGAGCTAAAGCTATGTGGGTGGTCCAAAAATAAATTTGTTTGAAGTTAATTGTACGAGAAATCAAATCTGTGTTATCCGCTTTCAGACACTAGTAAGCCCATAAGGTTTGTCATATAAATTAATAGTATGATTAAATTATTTAAATGAGCTAACTAGACTTTAAATTAGATGAAGTAGGACCACAAGTACACTAATTTCTCAATGATCTCCGATCCTTATCTCCACCATTTGGTAGAAATCTTTCACATGAAAAGTTTGTGGCGCTTTCGCTTTTCTTTAGTGTTGCTAACATCATTTAAGAATCCCACGTTATATTGACCATCACACCTGAAAGAAGGGAGACTTTCATATTAGGCTTATGGTCTGTACATCATTGGTCATCATGATATAGTTCAACAAAGATGTATTCTAACGGATCAAATCGATCGCATTTCACGAAATAACGGGACTCGTGTTATATCTGACATCAAAGAAGGCAAACCCGCATATTTAATTGCTTTTGTTGAGTTCGTCAAACAAGCCGATCATAAAATGGGTCTATATAATCTTTTTCGCATATCACGCTTTTTATAATCGATGAACTCGACATATTTTACATATTATCGATTGTCCTTGTTCACCGTATCATGAAAAATGTCTCTATTTACACTGCTTCTTGTAGCATGAGCACTAGAACAAGTGCACATTTTTCCCCCTTTCTCTGTGTCTTGGTCTAAGCTCAGGTTGATCCCTTTTTACATTCACATGCTGGACAAAAGAGTGACCATGTGAAGGTGGGGGTGGCTTTTATAATGGGGTTGTGACAGTTGGCGGTTCTGCCATAAATCGGAGGTGGCCATGGTGGTTGCATGGCTTCATTAATGTGCCTGGGTGTCTGTTTTCTGGGGCATTAAAGTCAGCACCAACCAGAAATTATGCAGAGCTTCCTCCTTCTGGTGCACATCAACCCTAGAATATGAAGATGAACATTGTGAAATATGGTCAGGTCAAGCCAAGCCCCTCTAGTTTTGGGCTTGGCCCATTAACCTTTTGTTTGTCTAGCAGACCAACTTGCAATGGTATTAATGGGCTACTCCGTGCTGATCACCAAGCCCAATGTTGGACTTGAACCATAGGAGAAATAGAATTTTCGTTTCGATTTTAATGAATAATGCCAGGGATACTAGATCGGTGCATAAAATGGTTAACCAAACTTTAATAGTATAAATTTTAGTCTATCGAATGATGTGTGGTGGTTGAATGTCACTTGGATATTTAAAGAAGTGGGTCATAAATACTCGTATTCAAACTCCGAATATTGATCGATCATGTAGCTTAACAAATCAAATTTTTCTAACTGAATTGTAGAGTGCGTTTGTTCCACTGAAAATTTCATGATAAGGGAAAGCATTTTTCATGAAAATTAGTTATTTTTCATTTGTTTGATCGTGTAGGGAAGGTGATTTCCTTTCGTTTTGCTCAAATGAAAAGTTGTTATCCTCTAATTTAAGCTTGTTGTTTTTAGTATATGCAAAACATTTTCCATAGATCAATGAATTTTCTGTCATCTAAACACCGAAAAGTCGGAAAATAATTTTCCAGAAACAGTTTTTCTTCAAACAAGCGGAACCTTAAATTTGTAACGTTATTCATCTTTTCTCGCTCCATCCGTCGCCCCTCCCATCAAGAAAATAGAGAAAGAACTCAGGGACAAAATAAAGACCATATGTTTGTGCATCAGAATCTCAGAAACATTCCAAAAGAGAATTCTGTACACAAGATAATGAAATAATGCTTTGATTATTCCCTCTCCCAGAAAAAAATTAATAAGGAAAAACTCCAAAAATATCCACCCACAAACTATTATGTCCCCTCACCTACTTCTATCTAACAACTACTTGATTACAAAATACAAATATATCAAGCAAACAAAAGAAATGCAGAAGAAACAGCAAATCAAGAACATCCCAGGATTTTAGTTGACCTCCGGAATGCTCTTCAACGCCGGCCTCCACGACCGGTGGTGCTTCTCGGCGGAGCAGCGGTGGCTGCCGCCCCCGGTTGCATTCATCAACAGACTTTCCACCATCTCTTGATGAGAAAGCTTTTGCATGTCCGCCTTCTTCAGCAACTCCCGAAGCTCCTTCCTTGTGATCTTTATCTTCACCTGCTCTCTCCTGCCGTGCGAAGAAGTCGAACCAGAACCATACGGCATCGCCGCTTCTTCTCGCAATGAAGCTTCTTGCTCCTCCTCCTCTGTACCCGTCCCCAATAGCAACTCCCAGTCATCGCCGGCCCACACCGTCGAAGCCGATTCGTGCGCGCAGCAGTTTCCCATTGTCGCTGCCCTTCTTGTGCCTTGCAATTACTGGCTTGTGCTTTTCAAAGTATGTGAAGTTTTGAAGCATATGAACAAAGTTTTTGTGCTGTATGTTTGCCTCCTATATATATTTTAGAGGTGGGGACTGAGTCTGTTGTTCTTGGAAGTCAACAGATGAGAGGGAGCTATGACAGGATGACACGTGTAGGGAATTACCTGGCCCATGTGAGATATTGCTTGGTTTTGTTGACCAAATCACCTGACACTGCATGTGGAACCACATGTGATATTAAAAAATAGAGACTCGATTAAGACACCAAGAAAAGTAGGAAACTCGAGTTTATATCCCAAGTGATATGCCTATATTAATGTGCTTTTACATTATTTTAAAAGCAATTGTAGTTTACATTATAGATCGCCAGATTAAAAAGAAATTCGCGCAGGCGGCAGTCCAGCACACCATTGATTTGAAAGAATGGGTAGTTATAATCATCAAGTCGAGAGCGGATAATGCTGCTCGCTTATAATTTTCTTCACGCTATTGGTGTATGCTTCATTTTTTCTTAATTCAGTGCTTGATAAATCGAATTTCGTAAAGCATTCTTGTTAATATTCTCTCAAAAGTATACTCTTTTCATAATTTGGTAAAGCACAGTAACACAAAAATGTCACATGGTGCAATTGTTATTACCCTCTGAAATGTACGCACAGCAAAAAATTACGATCAACATGGCTTCCAGAAAACCCTAAGAATGAAATGAAAAGGAGAAGATCCAGCAGAAGCGAGCCGTGGTGGTGGAGGAGAATGTGAACGGGACTGAAGGATGGTATCTTCTGCAATTAATCAAAGGAGATAAAAAGCTTGCCTTGCTTGCACCGCCAGATGTGTATATAGTCTATAGTCCACTTGTCTATGCACGTCATTGACTTGAAATATAGAAAGAGACAAAAGCGTCGGGTGACGTGTCCACGGGACAATCTCCCGACGTTCATGCCCCCGACATCCACGTGTCAGCTTCCTACGCCGTGAGAAGATTACTAATGCACGATAATGTTTACTTAGCCAAGACAACGATCTCTTAGGTGCATGACTCACAGAGATAAAGTCAGATATAGACAACATGTGATTGGGAGAGCGCTAACAATCTCGTAGTCATGACAATTATAATTTGGTAGAGATTGATAAGTTCTCGGGACCTACTAAACGGTATTCACAAATATATTTTCTTCGGCTGCATAGTGTCTTGTCGCTACCCTCTAGTGATGCCAACCCACTGTCTAAACTACGACGATCGCCATCGCCGCCGGTTGCTCAGTTGGATTGACCACTCATCCCCCTACCTCCCTCTTTCTCTCACTCGCACTTGCTTGTTGCTGACAAATCCATTTGTCTTTTAATATTGTAATATAAGATAATTAGTTATCTACCAAGTTATTCGGGAAATCACTGGCTTTTCTCTACATGAAAAGAGAAACACTCATTAGAGAGATAATAATAAAATAAATTAAAGACAAAATACTAACCGAATGAAACAGAGCGACAAGTGCAAAAATCTTAAGCATCGACTAATTATTAAGGGTTAAATGATTTGTAGAACAATACATTGGAGGTAGTTTGTTGATTATTCATCAATTGAATAGTAAGATTCAAATATAAAGAAAAGATATGTTGACATAATTTTTATTGGGTCTACTATCAGCATAAAAAATAACTTACACTTCATTAGATAGTTAACATGTTGATGGTTTTTATTACATAGCTATCTCGGAGCACACATGTCACATGTTCAATAGTAAATGAGTAAGAAAAATAAATCGATATTGGACAATTAGGCAGATGCTCATCTAACATTGTAATAGGAAAAAAACAAACAGTAAAATGAAGAATGTCGTGAATTCAAAGGTTTGAAATATAAGCTTCCTTTTTAGCAAGAAAAGGAACTTTTGCGTATGAGAAATTTAACCTATACATAAAATATAGTCTAGTAAAATTTAATGTGGTTCCCTATAAGTTTAATTTTGGAAAGAAGAGGAAATGAAAATCAGGCAGCAAACATACTATCTAAAAATAAAAACCATCTATAATACTATTGAAAGTACAAAGAAACATGTCTATTCAAACATATTGTTTCAAGAAGAGGTGTCGGCATTTATTTTAGGGATAAGTGCATTGAAAGTTCTAAAACTTGTCATTAAAATGCAATTGAGTCCTAAAACTTTCAAAAAGTGTGATTAGGTCCTAAAACTTATCACGAAAGTACCATTAAGTCATAAAACTTTCAAAAAGTGTGATTAGGTCCTAAAACTTGTCACGAAAGTACCATTAAGTCCTAAAACTTGTCAAATTGGTTCAATTAAGTCCTTTCATTGATTACATTTTTTTGAAAGTTTTGAAACTTGATTGCACTTTTATTACAAGTTTTAGGACTGTATTACACTTTTCGAAAGTTTTATGACTTGATTGCACTTTCATAACAAGTTTTAGGACTTGATTGTATTTTTTGAAAGTTTTAGGACTCCATTACACTTTTATAACAAATTTTAGGACTTCTAGTGCACTTATCCCTTTATTTTATTTAATAAGACATTTGTCTAAACTCCTAGAAATGTGAAGCAAAGTGTCTAATCGCGCAAATATTCAAGACACATTATTTCGGGAAAATTACCAATTCAGTCCTAAACCTATTGCATTTGTGCCAATTCAGTCCTAAACCTTTCAAAGGAGAGAAACGCAAGGGGGGGCAGACGCGGCGCAAAATACCCGTTTTATAAATCCCAAAAATGGGCCAAAATTCGGAATGTCACAAGCTGGGCCCTCGCCGGCGAGCCTCCCCCCTGGTTGGACAGGCCAAGGGGGAGAAGGAAAAGAAAAAAAAATTCGAAATTTTCCCCATTATTTCAAAGACACATACCAGCTAAACAGTTTCGGGGAAAAAAAAACATGTTTTTTCATGCAATAATAGAGCTAATTATACCCTAATTGTCTTAGACCAGAGGAATAAGAAATTTGAGAGTAGCATGACAAACTTATTGTTTAAAAAACAAACATAATCTAAACTGCCATTTTATGCGAAGAGATATTGTCTGTTTAAGGTTTGATTGAATGTAGATCACAATCCGTAAGTAATTTCTATTTGGATATCCGGGCAGTAGAATCCACGACCAGACATGGAAGCGCTTTGAAATGATCAATGCCGAGTACACGATGAGCCTAGTGTCGTTGTGGGATTTCTGATAGACTGATTAACGAGGACGAGACTACTTACCGTATTTATCAAATGGTATTGTTTTATCCTGATTTTATCCTGGCAACTTTATTGGCTGTGATATGTTCGTTGTATGGCCTTTCTCGTTTGCGTATCAATGTAATCCTTTTAAGCTATGTTCACATATGTGACAATGATCTCAACTAGCTATTTTCAAATTGCTCCAGGGCGATTTTCTCAACGAGTTGGCTCGACCAAGCTGAGTTGGATCGTACGATAAAACCAGCATCAAATCAGCTTGGTTGAGCAAACTCCTACAATATAATCAAAACGACCAAGAAGACTGCCAAAGCCCTTAATAATCAAACCATTCATTGAATCAAATGTTTAATTAAGAACAATAATTCACGAAAGATGTTATTATGAAGAAAGATCGCCGAGTGTTGATGGTCGGTAACAAGATTAATAACATTTATGGAATGGGAAATCAAGACATCACCAGTACATCATTCTTAAATCTTTGGAGCCGCGCGTAAGTCGCAAGAAGGTTATATGGATTTTGAATTTGCGGTATCCATTTAAAATTTAATTTTACTTTTTGACTTTTCTGTCCTGTGTAGTATATGCATTTCGTAGACTGATTTTATGGGAAAATTTTCCATCCACTCTCATGATGCCGTTTCCTTTTCCTATTTATTTTTGGGAAAATACTAGAAACTATGGCCAGATTTCATCCCATTGTCACGTTCTCTCCTCTACTTTTGAAAGCGCTGATTAACATCTTGGATTTTGTCATTGGAGACCACTTTGCCTCTTCAATTTCCTTTCCGAAAATGCCCTTGCCCACGTCCAAAATTTCCAACCACTCCCAAACCCCACAAAACCATACCCAAAACGTGACCCACGAACCCTAAGCTCAGTTGCCGCCATTGGCCGCCGTCAAAGCCTTCCGCCACGGTGCCCAACGTCGTTGTGGTAGTTGACGCGGCGGCGGTCAGTGGTGGGTGATGAAAGAGGTGAGGATTTGTGGGTGATGGGGGTTAGGGTTTGTGGGAGACTTGGAGGATTTGAAATTCTAAAGAGGGGCAATTTGATCTTTTTATCAATGAAATTTTATTAAAGAATGAAAAGTAGTTTTATCAAAAGTAGAGGAGGGTAAGTGGTGATGGAGTGAAAAATAAACACGGTTTCTATTGGTAGTTCTCCTTTCTTTTTTAATTATGTTATAAAATTTGTCTAACTTTGGGGACCACCAAAAGCATTCGATACTACATAGGAGTATGTTCAAGCTAATATCTGTGTACCTATTAGCAAATGATATTGAACTATGTGAAATTTCAAACTTGTTGTAATGTCTTTTGTCTCTCTCTTTTTTTAACAAAGAAAATCCCAGCAGATTTGTGGCCGTGGGTTCAAGTAAAAGCCATTAGCTGATTATGTCACTGATGTATGAAGACCGTATGAACAAGAGTTCATGACTAAGGATAACAATGTATTATATATCTTATGGAGAAGAATCCTAATTTGGATCCTAAAGATTACCAAAGTAATTTCAACACATGAGGACATGGGAAGATTGGCCAGTGTGGCCAGTGTAGCATTAAGTCTAAACAGCCTCTGATGACGAGATGTAAAGTTTATCATTGAGGAATCCAAGCGAAAAATTTGAACAAGGCGACGGATCTTGAAAAGGAAGCCTTTTTTTTTTTTGCGGCAAACTAATCGATGTCGATCAAAGCTTCTTAGATGCAATTTCGTGAATAAATTGTGTATGTTAACCGATGTGAGATGCAATATGGTCGATAACTTGAAACCTCAAGATGAGAACCTATAATTTTTCTTTAAAAACTAGAGGATACAAAATGGTAATGGGATGAAAAGTGATTAGGGTAGTTGGTATTCTTCGTAAAATTTATAAAATAGAAAAAGGACAATTCTAGTGCAAGTCTTAAAACATGTCGTTTTCGTACACTTGAATTCTAAAACTTTCATGTTCGAAAAGACTAAATTTTATCGAAAATGTAAATTTTAGGACTTAAATTTTTGAAAGAACTCAAATGCATCGAAAATGCAAGTTT